TCATTTTTTAGATCCTTTTTTAATTGTGTTTTTTTTTTAAATTTTATTCTTTAATATTTTAACTATTTAAAATTTTTATTTATTATTTTTTAGAGTTTACTATTTATACGATTAGTCCAAGGCTTATGACTAGGGTCATTAGTTTTGAAAGTTAACATGTGTTAAATTTGATTTTTTTATAAATTAATTTTTTTAAAAAATTTATCATTCAACATTTGATTTATCAGAGAAAAATATTCGTGTTTCTTTTTTCATTTTCATAATTTTTTATACAGGGTTATCCTAATATTATGTCCATGATCGAAAGGTTAGAAGGTTAATCTGAATTGACTTGGATTTTTTTTTATTTTTTAATTAATTGTTTTTAGTTTTACCCTCAAATATTTAATTGTTTAATAATTAAATTTCATAATTTTATTTAGTATTCGCTTAATTAGGTTATCTTCATATCACAACTAAATTATAAATTTAACATGTTAATCCTAATGAATTTGAATCAAAATTTTATTTTATTTTATTTTATTTGTTTTAGGTTGCCAGTTTTTTTTATCAATTTATTCATGTTTGTTACATTTATTTAAACTAATCAAACTTATTAAACAAAATTAAGTTAATGAATGTACTTTAAATTTTTTTAGTTTTTTTGGTAACGCTTGTTTGCATTCCCTAAACATTTTTTTTTCTATGTTGAAAAAAATTTGGGTCTGTCCGTGGCATAGTTCATCCCCTATTTAGTCCATAACTATCCATGGATCCAATTTTTGTGTCGGTGGGTCTGAAGTAAATTTTGTATTTTGGACTGGACGCATTCAAAATGTAACAAAAACTTGGCCCAAGTTTGGTCCATGAACAGCTATCATAGTTACCAATTGAAATTGGGCCAACTAAATGATTATCACTGGGCTTTACTATCTCTAATAGGTATTCTAGCATATTTGGGCTTCTGGCCTTTCTTGTCTTTTAGGTGCCTGTTCCTTGCCCCCACTGCTTCCCGGTGCTACGGGGAGTATTTGTTCTAACAGAAATCGATTTATGATGGTTAAGAATGTAAGGTTTCTATTTCTATTTTTTAAAATATAAAATATAAAATTATTAGTTTGCTAATAAACCAAAAAGACGAAGAGAAGATATTTTTAAAATTATCTGAAAATGAAATTAACTCATGATTATACATAAATTAAAAATACATCAATTTATTTTTAAAATTTAATTTTTAACCTAAATTTATATTTAAAATAATGATAATCCAACTTATCTAAACTTGACAGAATATTAGATCTAAATAGTACGAGTATAGCTTACTTTCAAGCCAAGCATCCTTAAAGTTTGAACACTGAGTTTAAAATAATCAAGGATATGGTAATATGTCAGACTTAATATCTTTAGATTCAGTTACATATTAAATTTAAATAAATATAAGTCTAGTTATTGCTAGACTCAATATTTTTGGATTCAACTACGTACTTAGTCTAAACAAACATGAGTTTAATGAGCTGTTAGATTCAATATCTTTAGATTTAGTCATGCGATAAGCCCAAATAAATATAGGTCTGACGAGCTGCTAAACCCAACTTCCTTCAACTACATGCAGGGTTGAAGTACATATAGGTTTAATGAGCTGTCAAACCCAATGTCATTAGGTTTCATTATGTGATAAACTCAAATAGACATGAATCTTGCAAGTTATTAAACCTAATATCATTGGATTAGGTTAAGCGCAGAGTCTAAATAGACATGAGTTTGATAAGCTACTAGACCTAATATTCTTAAATTTAGCTATATGTTAAACCCAAACAGACAAGGACTAACGAGCTACCAGACCTAATTTTCTTGGATTTTGCTATGTACTGAACCTAAACAAACAATCGGGGTGACAAGCTGATAGATCTAATATGATTGAGTTCAACTATATATTGAGCCCATGCAGACATGGGTCTAGCAAGTTATGAGATTCACCACCCATGAGGTTTGTATAGTGCTAAATTTAAGTGGATACAAGCTTGATGGTCATTATAAATCTCATGCTAGGCTATGAGATTTTATTTATTTATTTTGATGATTTTTAATATAAAATGTTAATGTCATGAACACTCATCTCTCTAAACTCCTAAGTATATAAATGTCTTCTAAGGATCTATTATATTTTTATTTCTATTAATATTATGTAAGAAATATATATTCTTCATTAATATGACATACGTGATATTTATTATTTATTAATGTTAATATGAGAAAATGACTCTTTAATCCCTCTATTCCAACAACATGACAAGGTTCAAGGATTTTAAATATCCCTTAAATTATCCAGATAAAAAGGTTCACAAGTTTTATTATCAAAATATTCATACATTTATTATACTAAAACAAGAAAAAATATTTTTGTTTTTGGAATTAATTTATAGATCATTCTCTCATTTATTATAATCTTTTATAGTTTATTCTCTTATTTATTTAACCTCGTACTAAAAATAACTTATTTTATTTCTATATAAAAGAAATATTTTGCAAGTGTCGGGCTTTTTATCTACAACCATCTATTTTTTAAGATCTAAAAAAAAATATTGACCTAAAGATATCACTACCTATTATCCAAACATTAAATAAATATACCGAGTTTTAGAAAATCATGACATATACCAATAGAATAAAAAGAGAGACACACACACGGGGTTCAGCTGATTTCTTAGGTCGAACTCAATTAGGATGTACGTGAACATGGAACCGCTGTCTGAGAGAGAAACAGCCTTTCTTCTCAGGAGTCCTCTCACTGTAATGGTAGATATTAATGCTAAAACTGAGAGGTACTTGGATGCCATTTTCTTTGAGTAGATGGTCTTTGTCCAAAAATAAATGCGTATTGCTTAAGTTACAGCTTACATGAAGGCGATTTTCAGTGTCTTCTAGTGCACGATTGCTTTGCTGTTCTGATGCGTACACTTTTATTTGTATTTAGATAACCAGAGAAAGGCAAAATAATTCCATCAAATAATTGAAATGAGAAGGGATTTAAATGGCAAAATGACAACTACAAAAAGAAAAATGAAGATTGATTTGGTCAAGATATACATATTGTCATTTTTGTTTAGATTAGATAATATTTTAGAATCAACTTGGGCACATGAAGGTTTGTTTTTATCACAAAAAATATATATTTCTTGAAAGCAAATCATCGCAGTCATGTTTAAAGTATAAATATCAGACCCAGTTTGGGAATCGTCCCATCAAAGGGTCTTGGTCATGAGTTAATTATTAGGATAATTATTTTTATTAAAAAGAATGATGTTTTGTTATTTTTTTAAATAAATCATCGATATTTGCTTGATTGAGATGCAGCGAGTTTCATCAAACTATAAATTTTGTTATTAGGATATTTTTTTAAACAAATCATTAGATTTTGCTAAATTAATATTTTTTTCCACTTAATTTAAAACTCGGTTTTAATCAAACTATAAATTATAGATTTTGATGTTGAATTTAGTTTTAACGCTATAATTTAAAGAAAATATGAAAATATATATTATCAGAAAACTTGTTTATGAACTTTTTTCATGACCTTGTGGCTGAAATACGTGCTCCAGTACTCAACCAACAACCTGGTTAATTTATAGAATTAACTGGAACAGAAAACAAGAAGAAAGGAAGGAAGCAAGTTGCAACTTAGAGCCATGGCCAGCTTCCCCACGATTATGTGTCGATCTTATCCAACTGACTTTTCATGTATCCATCCCCATGCTATCCATTGATTCACGTGGTTATATGCCTTCTGCTCCAATGACAGTGGAAGTAACGTGCTTGATATCTTTTAATAATCAGCAACAATCTTGACGGACTGTTTTCTAACTATAAAGCTAGAGAGAGAGAAAACTTTCAGTGATCTACAGTTCAAGGGACAAAAAGATACACCAAAAGAAGCTTGGAGCAGCAAGGAAAGATCTTAAGATGGATAAAGAAACAAATTTTATGTCGAGTCATGTTTTCCAAAGAATCTTGCTAGCTACAAGCATATAAAATGTTATTCCTGTACATCAAAATGAAGTTTTTGCTGGACAGATTCTCCAATGCTGTGATAGATTTAGAATCTTTCACTAAAAAAATTGTAATGGTGGTCACCCGAGACACATCAACTACATATGCCTTGATTTGATAAAATTACATCTATAGAATAGTATTTAAACTTGACTTGATGAAGCATGCATGTTGATTAGATGATCCAGGTTGAAGTTTATTTTGAATTGTTCTGAACATTGAATTAGCTAAATCCTGGTGACTTTGTAATCTAACCCGGTCAAATTTAGGGGAGATTTAGCCGGGTTAACTGTAAGGAATTTTTTATCAAAAAACTTAAATAATATTGTTCTTGATAAAAATAATTAATTTGAGTTGATAAAAACATCAAATTATCAATTTTTTTCTATATATAACCCAGTAATTTAGATTTTAGACGGACTGATAAGATAGATGGAGTAATAGAATTTCTTAAGGCACCAGGTATGTATGGATGTTATGAGTCTAAAGTCTCGCGCCAGGAACTTAGACCAGCTTGTCATCTCTATTTTTCATGCAAAAGAGAAGAAACAACATAGGACCTCCATTAATGTCCTAGTTACCTGTATAATTTAAGGAAAAATAATTCCTTCCGGCTCATGTTGGAAGAACTAGGTCAATACATGTAAAAAATTCTCGTAGACACAAAGAAACATAATAAAAAAATAGATTTATCACGAGAAACAAATGCTAAGAGAAAACATTCATTTACTCTTTCAATGTCATGAAATTTATGGATAGAAGAAAGATTTCTTCAACCCATTTCTATGTTTTTTTTTTCTCCAGTCCATGTTGGAAGTAATTGAGCATGTATGCCAATTATAGTTTTTTTTTTTAAATCAAAGTAATTCCAAGAAAAAATACTTTTAAATAAACTTCTGAAAACTGTAGTGTGTTACTTAACTAAATATTTTTAAAATTGTAATTGATGTAAATCACTGAACACACCACATTACATAAACAAATAAAGCCTATATATATATTGAACTCTAGTCTCAAAGCTCCCCCACTAGTCAATAACTAGATCAGCTACTTGACATCCTTCCACTCCAGCTCTGCTCTACTCTACTCTACTCTTATAGAGTAGAATTTACATCTCTCTTCCTCTCTTCTCTGAAGTTCTTGAAACAAACAGGAGTACTTCCTACACACACACACAGAAAATTAAGCATCTATGTGCTTGAGATCCATCAGCAAGGAATAGTTCCATCCAGCTGGTTCCCAAAGGATGGAAAGTGCTAAAGACAAAGCCCCTAAAACTGACCTCAAGGAGGCTGCTTCATCTAAGCAAACGATAAGCTTTTCAGGTAATTTCAGTTTTAATGAGCTCAATAAATCTGGTAAAAATAGTGAAGATAACAAGCTTAAACAGGCAGAGGAGTCACTGAGGACTGTGATGTACTTGAGCTGCTGGGGTCCTAACTCCTAACTGATGAGCAATCCGATTTGCGAAAGCTGGCCTAGATGTTGCTTAGAAGCTTATGTACACAGAGCCTATAATGTACATGTAATATTTCTGAAGTAAGTCAACGTCTATGACTATCGTTTTTTTTTTTCTGTTCCTTGTTCCTTCAAGATCATATATATATAATCTATCGAACCAGATGAGAAATTATCACGATGGGAATTGCTAAGAGGATAAATGGAAGCAATGATCATGTGTTTAAGCAAAGAACACAGATTGGAACTATTAAGGTGCTAGTGCAATGTGGTACCTACATGTTTGACAAAACTATCTTGCTTGTAAGATATGCTTTACCCTGATGGTGATGGGGAGGCCATAGAACTAGGAGAGGAATTTTATGCTGATCAGTAACGCAACATGATCTATTGATCAAAACATCACTCAAAATCAACAATTTCAAGATATATAACAATAAGGTTCAATTAGGAGATATTATCTCTAGTAAAGACAGGCATCAAACCATCATGCATCGCACAAATAGACTTTTCATCTATATATTCAAACCATCATGCATCGCACAAATAGACTTTTCATCTGTTGGATAATACTAAGGTATAGTACAGTTTTCTTTTTTTTTTGATAATCGAGATATTATTTATGCAACCAGTTTATTATTACAACTATGATAAAAAATTCAAAATATTAAAGTATTGTACGGTAAAAACAAAAAGACAAAACATTTTCAACCGCACCGCTATACAATGCCAAGCATGGTAATAGTTGTTAGGATTGTGATTTAAAAAATATTATTTTATAAAAAATATTTTTAGTTGAGATTAATTTAAAAAAATATATATTTAATTAAAATTATGGTTAAAATTAAGGTTAAATAAAAATTAGTTTAACGTGTTTGGTTAAAAAAATATTTTTCAAATTAAGGTTATAAAATAATTAAATATATATATATATATATTAATATTGATTATTTTTAATTTAAATATTGTAGATTTAAGTACTGTTATTACATCATAAAATAAATAATATTGATATCAAATATTTTTTATTATTCCATTAAACTATATACAATTTCATCACGTACAAAATTAATCAAATAAGGACTATATTTTTCATAATTTCTTAAGCGTGCAATAACAAAAATTAAATTTTTTGTTACGTCATCAAATGATCGCCTTCTAATTTTTTAAATAAAACATAATTACAAATAAAATAAAAATTAAATTTTTTTAACTGGGTCGGACCCGGCAAGAGCATAATTGGACTTGCGATTAAATTCTGCAAATGCTACATCATTAAATGATCTCCTTCTAATCTATATAGTATTATTAAATAATATTAAATACTTGTTTTTTTGAGTAAAATATAATTTTTTAAAAATATATTTTTTAATATAAGTTATTTATCTGTTATTGTTCACATAAAGAATACCAAGTAAAATTCACTTGGATGAACAACGTCCAGGTGAATTATCATCTGGGTATATTATTCACTTGGAGCGAATAGTGACCAGGTAAATTATATTCACTTGAAATCAACATTTCAACAAAAATATATATGGGTCTCGTATGAAAAGTCAATTAAATTTTATATTATTAAACTTAATGTTTACATAATAAATTTTAAAATTAGAAGTTACTGTGACTAAAAATATGTACCAACATGGAATAATGGTTTAACAAATAGATATAGAAGCACTGTCACTCTGAAGACTTCACAACATGTCTGAATGCATAGATAATCTTTAGTTTTGCAATTTATTAGAAGGCTCATTGTAAGGCAAAATTAGGGGACAGACTTCCACTAAATTAGGTACTCAACCAATATTCATTTTTTAGATTACTTGAGAAAGGGACTTCAGCAAAGAAGTACTGTTATCTTGACTAGCATCCAGCTAATTCTCCCCTCTCTGAAAGATCGCAGTTTCTAGTCTCGCTTGTAACAAAATAAATAAATAAGTGAATTTATCTACTAAATATCCGCAATAATTATTAATAATATTCTAAAAAACACGAGGAAAGTATTGTAGATTTTTCCACGCTTTTATCTTCGTTGAACTTATATATTATAATTATAATAATAACAACATATAACTGTTTTTTTTTCTTTTTTAATTTTTTTCCATTTTTATTTTTTTCTGTTTTTATGTCCTATAAGTTTTTTTTTTGTGTGTTTTTCTAATTTAGTTTATTAATGTTAATTTTTTTATTTAGTTATTATATTTTTATGATGCATATATCGAGTTTGAATTACTCAGAATTTTTGCTTTTCTTTTTTTTAATTAATTATTTTATTTTATTTAGTTTGTTAATATTAATTTTTTTAATTATCACACTTTCATGACACATATTCGGACTTGACGGGTTAACTTGTTAATTTTTTTTATTTAATTATCAAACTTTTATGATGTAAATTCTAGATTTGATAAATTAACCTGATTTGAAATGTTAACCAAGTTAATTCAGAATTTTTTTTTATTAGTTTTTTTATTGGTTTTTTTATTAATATTATTATTAATATTATAAATATTACTCTTGAGTCAGACATTGTAGCTAAACCCAAGACTTTTAGATACTTGCGTATAGAAAAATCTAACACTTTTAAATCTTAGTTACACACACACATATATATATATATATAATTTATATAAAAAAAATTAATCTATGGTATTAGTAAGTAATGTAACTAGTATAAAGCTACATCTTGTACTTTATTTAATTTTCTCTTGATCATACAACAAAATTATGATCCTAGAAGAACAAATTCTCGCAAAAAAACCATGCTAACATCATTTTTTTTTTAAAGAGGTTAGTTTGGAAAAATTATAGTTATTAAATGTGATAAGAAACTTGAGTTTTTTAGATTATAGGATCTATTTGAATGTCACGTCAATTTAAATCAATTATTTTATTTAAAATATTATTTTTTTATTAAATTTTTTGGAGTTGGCTCAATCAAATTCATGTAAATTTAATCATTAACTAAATCACGGGACAATTCGATCAATTTGCTGGTCATCAAGTTATTCTAAATCAATTACTTTATTTAAAATGATACTATTTTTATTTTTTTAAAAAAATTATATAAAGCTGACTTAATCGGTTCACCTAAAAATTTAGCCACGTTCATCAAATCAATCAAGTTTGGCACATTCAATGTACAATCAAATTGAAATAAAACCCGACCTAAATTGCTGGAGCATCAAGTCGGCCAACCAAGCGTTTCAGAAGCATGGAATAAACTAATTATTAAAATTCGGGATTTCCATAGGTCTCTGGTTTTGAAGTTTTTGGAAATTTGAAGATTGAGAAAGCATCATCTTCGATCGTGTAATCGAATAGTGTAGGGTGTTGGATTCAACCGAAATAAATAAATAACAAAAACAAATACCATGAAACTAAAGATTTATACAGCAAAATTCTATAAGATTTAAATAATATTTCAAAGAACAACAGAATATTAATTGGTGTACAGTGAAATACGAGAAATTAACAAAACCAGTACACATTTATCCAAAAACCAAAACCAGTACAAGAAATGAGATGCATAACATTCTCAGCCTTTTCAGCTTCCCTCAGCCTTCGCTTCTCACCAACAGTACCAGCCTTCTTCCTGGGTTCAGTGGCACCGGAAACCCATCTAAACTGAGTGCAACTTTCGGATTCTGGTCTTGGTTTTGCCTGAGGATGCATCATCGTCCCTCTAGAATTCTGGTCTTCTAGGCCTTGAACTGCTCTAAAACAATTCCTGCTTATGTACCTTAGACTCATGTTTGTTGGCCTGTAAACGTCAGGACTAAACCCTGTGATTAATGACCGAAACGTTTGGCCCGATGGAAAAATTAGGCGATTTGGTTCTGCTACTAGCCAGAATACGGTGTCTTTTCAAAAGGGTTTCTTCAACAGAAGCAATTCTGGTAAGCCAAGCAAAATCACGATTTAAATAAATCTTTCAGATTAGGAAAATTGCAATTAATGAGCTCGTTACTGCGATTTCTTAAAGAGACCACATAAAACCTGTGCATATATATGGAAAGGTTGGGAACCTTGGGATACCATTCATTTTTTTCCTTCTTTTTAGAATTATTAGATTGGTTTTTTTGTTTGTTAATTCGAAGGATATTAGCATCGTCCTTAGAATTATTTGACTTGGCGTCTCTAGGTGTTTTTTTTGGCTTTTTATCTTATCAGAAATGTTAGATGGGGGATTGATATATTTATTTTTTTTCAACTTGATTTTTTTTTATATTAATCTTGAGGTGTTTTGAGCTAAGAGATTAGTTTGAGTTTATTAGAGTATTTGTTAGGTTTTTTTAAATGATAATAGATTAAAAATATATTTTTAGCCAAAATCACCAATCTTGAATTTTTTGATCACCTCTCCGGTAGTTGGGTTGTGGACTTTCAAATCACATGTTATTTTATTATTATTTTTTATTTAAAAAATGTTAGGCCACGACCAACCAAAAAAATGTGGGTGCGGGCTTGGCCTTGCAAGCCTCCACACCTAGTGTTTTTATTTTACGAGCCAGGCGCGAAAACCCATCTAGGAGACCTGGTCTTTTTTAAGAATATTTTTCTAACATTTAGGTGCAATTTTCTTAAAAGTTGATTAATTACAAATATATAAAATATATTTAGATATTATTTTATTTAGTATCATTCAATTTTTTCTTTGTTTTTAAATAAAATTATAAAAAAATTTAGAAACACGGTTTAACTTTCCTCAAGTTTATTTATTTTTATGTTTTAAAAATAAAAATTTTTAAATTTTTTTGGTTTAAATTAATTTTTTTGATATTTTTATGTTATTTTGATGTGAAAAATAAATTTTTTAAAATAATATTTTAATATATTTATAAATAAAAAATATTTTAAAAAATAAACAATAATATAATACTGAAGAGATCAAAACCACACATGCGACCAGAGTGTGCCACCCATTCCCATTTTTGCCACATCTATTAAAGAATAGAGTAGCAGGCAGTTTAGTGGAAAATGGTGTGTCCATTATTGGTTGCTTTACTCTAATGGCTACATTATTCTGTCCAATCTCACTATCAAAGTGTGACCAAAACCCATATTTCTCCTTGTATAATTGACTGGTAAAATGGTTGTGCATGGTCAAGAAAGTCATTATGGCAAAACAAGATACT